TATCCTGTTATGAGGGTGTTTCTCTGCAGCAGGGACTGGGGCACTTGTCAGGACAGAAGGAAAAATGGATGGGACAGACTTTTTTCTGGCATGTTGGTGTTATATCTTTCACTTGGATGTTATACGGAGTAAATACAGCTGGATAAAACAAAAACTGTGTGTTAATTTCAGGCTGCAAAGCAACAAAATGTGATTATTTTAATGGGGGGTGATTCTTTGCCCACTGTATACATACACACACACACACACACACACACACACATAAAATATATACAGTATATCAGTAATATAATGATCTTTTCTCTAGGTCTTGCAGTAATTGGTTCAGTTGGTGTAGATGGTTCTGGATACAAGGAAATAAAGACAGAAGCTGGCTTGATGGCATTTGTTTTGGTTAACAAAGTGCTTGTTTGGATTACTAAAAAAGGTACATTTGTATGAGGACTTTGAGTTCTTCCTGTGGGGAAAAACCAGGTCATACCAGGTTAAGATTTTTTTAATTTTTTTTTCCTGATAATCTGTCCATTGTTGTTTAGACTCCACTAAGTGTTGGTTTAGCGATGATAAACATACAGGGAAGCTGTGGTTTGATGTGGACACCGACATCGTTAGTCTGAAAGCATTCGCAAAGTCAAGACAAAAAGGTGGGGATATGATTAAGTAATAACGTAATACATTTATGTAAATTATGAAGCATTAATTAGTCCATTTCATATTTCAGGCACTAATCTCTGCTCTAATGGTAATGGAGGCTGTAGTCACCTCTGTCTCGCGTTCCCTGGAGGAATGATGTGCCATTGTGCCCACAATCACCGCCTGGTCAACGGCAAAGGCTGCAGTCCAGACCCCTGCTGCCCTCGAGGCACCAAACCTTGCCTGAATGAAGACATCTGTCTACCTCTGGAGCAGTTCTGCAACAGTGTCGCCGACTGTTCAGATCATTCTGATGAGAACTGTGAGGAAACAACAAACCCTAACCTTCTGGTTTAAATTTTAAAAATGTTTTGGGGAGGAAAAAGGTTGCTTTACCAATAACATAGATTATTCTGTTATGGGTAGTTGCCATTGGGGTGTATTTTTTCACTGTGAAGAACATATACAGGTCAATTTTACCCCAAAATCAAATAAGAAAAATAGGAAAATTTAAATTTGCATAATGAAAACATTCTTAATGGTCCCAAAAATAGGCTTAATTTTATTTTGGGACAAAATTAGAGAATTGTTTCTTTATGATAATTATAATTTTTTGCTTAGTCTTGTTACTGTAATACATCATAAAAAAATATTAGAGTAAATAAGATTTATAAAAAAATAATAAAAATAGCGTAATATTTCTACTTGAATTTATTTTTAAAAAATGTATTACTCCAATGAAAACACCCACATACACACACACACACACGTACTTCTGTGAGTGTGTATAGAATCAAAACATACAGAATCAAGAGAAAAATAGAAAATTAAATTTTGCATTGTTAATAACCTTTATTAGTCAACTATTTATACATTAATTTATTTAAATTTCAATGTATTGTATTGAATTGTATTCAATGAAAACACACACTGATTTTTATTTTAGAATTATACGTCTACATAATTCCCCTTTTAATCTTGAGTGAAAAATGACCCAGACATGATTTCATTAGATTCACTCAACAATATTAAACAGATGCATATAATAGGCATGTTCTTCTGTTTTGACTTCTCAGGTCTTCAGGATACACAACAAAAAAACGTCTGGATCAATCCTAAAGCGTTTCGTCCAGGTTTGAGCGATAATGTCATATCAGAGAACGTGGAGTCTGAGGCATGTGGCGTTACGCTGTGTAATGGCAACGGTAAATGCTCGACCCAGAACGGCGTGACAGTGTGCGTCTGTGAGGCGGGTTATAGTGGAGAGCACTGCCAGGATCTTTCGAGTGGGCTCTCACAGGGGCCGCTTCTGTACGGAGTAGTTGGACTGTGTGCCGCTGTGGTCGTCCTGGGGATCATCGTCGGCTTCATTCAGAAGAAAAAAGCCACAAATCGGAGGTATGCTAAAATCTGCTGACTTTCATTTACTTATGAAGGTTGAAATCATATTTGTTATGAGGATTAAACTGTGTTTGTGTTTAGGCAAGCAGCACGGACTGTGGATGTGCAGGAAACAGGCATGAAGGAACTAGAGAAAAGACGAGAGACGTCTTCAGTAAAATCGAATGGAAAAGACACTGGATTCTCAGAGGTATGAATTAAGAGAATGGTAATGAAATTAAAGGAATAATTTACCCCAAGATGAAATTTTGCAGAAAATTGACTTACCCTCAGGTCATCCAGGATTTAGATGAGTTTGTTTCTCCATTAGAGCAGATTTGGAGAAACATAGCGTTCCATCACTTGCTCACCAATGGATCCTCTGCAGTGAATGGGTGCCGTCAGAATGAGAGTCCAAACAGCTGATAAAAACATCACAATAATCCAGTCCATCAATTAATGTTTTGTGAAGTGAAAAGTTACATGAAACAAAGAAACAAATCCAACAATAAGACATTAAACTTCAAACCGTTGCTTCAAGCTAAAATCTGAGTTAAAAAAAAAAAAAAGGTCATTAAGAAAGTGTACAGAATCTTATCTGAATCAGGAGAGAAATATGCACAGATCAAGCACGTTTTTTGTTGATTATAGTGGAAATATGTTGGTGGATTTTGATGTGAGGACAACAGGGGTGGACTTTTTCACTGGAGGAAGCATTATGATGGATTATGGACTTAATATGGACGTAATAGACAATTTAAAGCTAAAATGTCTTGATGGATTTGTTTCTTACAACCATGCAGCTTTTCACTTCACAAGACGTTAACTGATGGACTGGAGTCGCATGGATTATTGTGATGTTTTTTTCAGCTGTTTGGACTCTCATTCTGACGGCACCCATTCACTGCTGATGCAATGCTACATTTCCCCAAATTTGTTCTGATGAAGTAACTCATCTACATCTTGGCCTGCCTGAGAGTCGAGTCAAGTCACCTTTATTTATATAGCGCTTTATACAATACAGATTGTGTCAAAGCAGCTTTACATGGTCTCCGCTGATATTCAGGGCTGTAGAGGTCGTCTCTAGGTGCTGATCCATCATCTGATCTGGATACGGACTGGATCTGGGTGGCTACGGTGACCTCGGAATAAGAAAGAAACAGACTAATATTAGCGTAGATGCCATTCTTCTTACGATGTAACAAGTACATCGGGTGTTATGGGAAGTGTTCCCGGTTCTGGTTGAGAGCGAGCAAATTTTCATTTTGGGGTGTACTAAAATTTTTGCTCCAGGAAAAAGTTCCCATTAGCAAAGATGGTGTAATATTTGCTGTGAAAATGCTTTATAAGGTTTTGAAATAACTGATTTGACACTTTTTTTTTTTTTTTGTTCTTCATCTTTTTTCTGTCTTTAGGAAGACGTGGTAACATCTGTGGACTAGCTTCAACATGTTGGCTGAAGCATCTTGGTTTCTTTGAAATAAAGTCATGTTGCATTTTGAAAAGTCAAATTCACAGTCTACCATCTGTAAACAAACTGTTGCATAACTATCATTCTGTTCTTATTCAATGTCTAAAGGCAAAATATGAAACTTAGCAACTTAAATGACGATATCTTGGTTTACCACATAACTACTGCAAAAATCGATTTTGCCAAAGCACCACATTGTAAACCTGTCAAAATGAAAGATTAAAGTCCATTTTTAAGAAACGTGTTGTGAAATGATGCTCTTGACCACAAAAGTTTGGGAAGAAAGTTAATAAGTGGGGTTACATAGAAAACTTTGGCCCCACCCTACAATATGACCTCATTAATGCAACAAAGAGGTTAAATGCATATTTTATGCAATTTAAAGAATACAAAGGAAGGTACAACACTAGAGAAGGCCTGTACCATCTCAAGGTAACAATTCATAATTTGTCCATTTTTGTACTTCAATATTTGTCAATTAAAATCAGTTTTCTAAAATACGATGAAGAATCTCATATTTTTTGCCGGCCTATTAAGCATCACCCTTGCCTTCCCAGTGGGTTCACCTTTACACAAGGTGTTTCACAATAGATAAAATGTAATTTATTTAAATGAAATATTATTACTACATTATTTTTATGTAGCTTAATATTAAATTAGTTTAAAATTGAATTTAATTAAATTTAAATGTAATTGAACTAACGTTGTAGTTAATGGTAACACTTTAGTTTAGGGACCAATTCTCGCTACTCACTAGTTGCTTAGCATGTGTATTACTAGCATATTGGCTGTTTATTAGTATTAATAAATCGCATATTAATGGCTTATTCTGCATAACCGTATTTTAGAGCCCTTAATCCGACCTAAATTTAACAACTACTTTACTAACTATTAATAAGCAATAAATTAGGAGTTGGATGCAAAATCGTAGTTAATAGTGAGAATTGGTCCTAAAGCGTGACTTTAATAATTAAGATTTAATAATTATTCATTATTAATAGTTAATAATTGAGACATAAGACATTTACATTGTATTTAATTACGTCATTAATTTTGATTTAATTATATTTAGGAATTTTAAGTTTTAATTTATTTCATAATTATGATATAAAATGTAATTATGACACAGTTATAATCGACAAAGTCAGAATTATTACATAAATTGTCTTATCAGATTAAAAATCAAAATTATGATGATGTCATAGTCAATTTAATTATATTTTTGTCATATATTTGAAACATTTCAGTAAACTGTAGCCTAATCAATTCAAATCATGTTTTTTTTCATATCCAGAGAGAAAGACAAAGACGTCTGCTATGGAATTAAAAAAATAAGAGGTAGTTGCTACTTTTCCAATTCTCAGTTTATATCACAATTCTCGCTTGTTTCTTCGAATAAAAAAAAAGCATATAAACTCAGTTGTGAGATATTAACTCAATTGCAAAACTCACAATTCTTAAAAGTTAGAATTGTAAGATGTAAACTCGCAATTGCAAGAAAAAAAATCAGAATTGATTTTATATGTTGCAAATCGTACTTTTTTTTTTTTGCTCAGAATTGTGAGAAACAAAGTCCGAATTGTGAGATAAAAAAAGTTATTGTTCTTGGTGTGAACAGGCCTTTATGAATACATTTGGTTCACTGAAATAAGCAATCTGCAATGCATTTCTTTCTCACGTAATCATTTACTTTTAAACTGTTGGAAACTTGACTAAACATGATGAAATGTTAAACCATAATAAATTACTCACCCTCATGTAGCTCCAACCTAATTTTTAACAAAGTTTGTTACTCTTCTTTTTTTTATGCAATGAAACCACAGTGATCAAGTTCAACAAATGACAAAAAGCACCATAAAGTCTATATAATTTGTCCACCGTATTATAATTCTTTTGAAGACATTTTCTTTGATAAACATTACATTTAAAGGGATAGTTCACCCAAAAAAAACTCATCATTTACTCACTTTCATATTGTTCCAAACTTGTTTGACTTTCTTCTACAGAACACACACAAAATAAAAGGAAGTCAATGGGGTGCAGTGTTGTATGCACCCCAACCTTCTTTAAGTATCTTCTTTTTTTTGTTCCATAGAAGAAAATCATACAGGTTTGGAGTGACTTGAGGGTGAGTAAATGGACGGAGTATTCATTTTAGGGTGGACTATCACGTTTAAGTACCTTCAGTTTTCTGTTTGTGGTTTTATTTCCGAGTTTTGCTTTGTGTTGATTTAAAAATAAATATTTGACCGGTTTCCTGCTGTGTTTTTGTCTTCCGAGTGGAATCTCTGCTGTTTCTGTCATACTGTTTCTGTCAGATCATGTTTTCACCACTGACATGATTAATGTGTTTTGTTATAAAAGCATTTGAGGGTTTTAGATTAATTCATCTTTCCCATAAGAGTTCACAATGACTAGATTAAAAACAAACGATAGGTTGAGTCCCTGGGTAAGCCCAGCCAACCACCCCGTGGTTAAATTTCTTGAAACAAAACATGTTTACTGGAATTAACAAGTACATTTTTTGGTAACCATATGATCTCTTCAGTGTAGGTCTGACTTCCGTCTAAAACTGCAAACCGAATGTGAAATTACAGAGAAAAGAAACAAACAACAAAGATTTGACACCAAATGTAAGTTATAATTAAGTCGTATATAAATATGCAGTTCTGTTCCACTTCAGCACAAGACTGACAAACTTGGAATATTCTTGCATTTTTCTGTGGAGTTTGAACAAACACGGTAATATTTTACCAATTTATACTTTCATATCCAGAGCATATATGATTTTTTTGAAGCATGTGTTCTTTTAGTAATGTTAACTAGTAATCTTGTTGCCCATTATTGACTGTTTTTATTATTAAGATGAACAATTTTCATTCTCTAACAGGGAGAGACGTTTAATAAAAGATGGATGGTTTGGGACTAGCACTGTTTGGAATATTTTTAACGTCATTTGCAGTTTCTAAACCGGTAAGAAGATTATATATTTTAATATTTACATTCAGACTATGTTTATCTATGCATTCTCGAAGCATGGTTACTTAAGTGAACTAGGTCATATAGGTTATAAATATTATATAAGGCTACTATTTGTAATTTGTTTCTTTTAGTCAATTGTTAATCCAAACTTTATTCTATTTATTGTGTCCATGTAAATACTTTGAATTAGTACCTTGTATGAAATGTACAAGATCATCTACCTCTGTAAACATTTAAAACCCATCTAAAGTTGTATTTAATAATTCCTTTGCTACTTTATACTGACCATTGGTTTTGAAGAAATGCATTTGGGGTTTTTATTTTTAATTAGATTTTCTTTTTTTATGATATTTTATCATCGGACTGCACTGATTTGCATTTGAAACCTATTGATTATCTATCTATAATCCTCTGACAGGTTAGTCTGTATCACCAGTTGACACGATCCAGTTCTGAATCCTCTGAATCAAACGACTCGAGCTCTTCGGAGGAGGTCACTGTACCGAGAACGACATTACAACCCGTTGAGCTGAAAACCATGGGACCAGACAGTCTGGGGGACAATCTGCACCAAACCAACGACTCTACCGCACATCCACGCCTTGCGCAGACCACATTGCACCCTTCCCTCACAGTACAAGAGGTTGTGGAGATCGAGCTGAATATAAGCTTCGTTCCTCTTGAACCATTTGTGCCAGTTACTGGTGGACCAGATGCTGAAAGACTGGTGGCTCCAAACGTCACCACCCCAGAACTACGATGTTACACGGTCCCGCTCACCAGTCCTGAGGCAAAACCTGTCAGAGGAGATAACATTTAATTAGCCGGTGTGCTGAATATTTACTAGGCTTGTCTATTCTCAAAAACATGGTGGTGTTTGTGGCAGGGTTACCTTGGTAAGAGGTTGACCAACCTTGCATCATCTTCACTGTTCTTCAATAGCATTTTTCAGTTGAGCTGAATTATCTTCAGAATTACACAATATCATTTTCAGCTATTGTATTTGTTAAAATGGTGTCTTTTCACTTACATTATTCATTATCATTATTAGTTGAAACAGTATTTCTTAAGAAATATGAAAGTTATATAAAGCAAACGACAAATAGGCATGATGCTTGTTAAACAAGTTTTTCAGGAACTTTGCAAATTCAAAAAGTAATAAAAATGTGCAAAATAACATTGAGTCAACTCATTTCATATTAATTAAAAAACACAGAATAAAGCCTTTTATATGGGAATTGTCATCTCATACTGACCCTTATGTTAAAGGAATGTACTGGGTTCAATACAAATCAGTGTTATTTTGGTATCATTAATATACCATTATAAATTTTAATATTTTGAATTAATTTTATTGTTATATTTCCGGTTTTTGTTGTGTGTTTTTGACATTTATAGCTATTAAAGTTATTTTATTCATTCTATTTAAAAAAAAAATGAAATGTTGCCTCGGCAACTAGCTGAAATAAACTTCCCGTTTTGTTTTATTTTATTTTTTTTATTTAATTTCAGTTAATCTTTATTTTATTTCAAGTAATTAATTTTTTTATGTTTTTTTTTATACCACAAAACAATTTTTTTTTACATTTTTCTTCCCTTTCAAAAAGCACAAATGCTGCTCATGTTTTTGATAAACCGCTTTAGTCTCACATATAAAAAATGGCACTACTGTTCTAGTTAGGTGAAGTTCTGATTATGTTTTATTGAGGTAATTCCTGCGGCTGAAGTTGGCTACATGTGACTGTTTTGAAGGTAGTCAAAAAAATGAAAGGTCTCCAGACGCATTTTTTTTTTTTTTTAAGTTTAACAATTTAACTTTAGTGCAACGATTTTAGAACACTGTCAAGTGTGAGATGCTGAAAAAGATGCGAGATACGAGCGCAACTGTCAAAGGCCAGATATATGAAAACAATGGTGCAGCAGCATGGTAGTGCAAAAACGTTCTGTATGACCAGTCAAGTGTCTGCATTTGACGGTGAACAAACACAGGCATGGTCTACTTCAGAGAGGTATTTCTCAGGAACGGTAGTGAATATCACAAATCTGTTCAACCATTTCTGTGCGGCTCGGTTCAAAGATCATCTGATCAGATTTTGGACTAAATTTGTAGGAAGAGTAACGAATATTTTTTTTTCATTTGCTTCAATATGGAGGACAGTCACTCTGATGGAAAATGAAAAATCAGATATCGTCAGAATCAGAATAAGCCAAGGAATTTGGACAATGTTTTCAAAAGTTATAAGCGTTTTTGCACAAATCTCTGGAATGCTAGGTGGTGCCGTGTTCAAACTTTTCTGGTACCTCCGGGACATGCTGTCGATTCCAATCATGGCCAAAAGTTTTGGCAGTGACATACATTTTGTGTTTTGCAAAGTTTGCTGCTTCAGTATTTGTAGATTATTTTTCCACGTTGCTATGGTATACTGAAAAACAATGATAAGCATATATTTTTTATAGACTTTTATTGGCAAAAAAAATATGAGTCAATATTTACAGTGTTGACCCTTGTTCTTCATAACCTCTGCAATTCGCTCTGGCATGCTGGATATTAGCTTCTGGGCCAAATCCTGACTGATGGCAATCCATTCTTGCCTTATTAGTTGCCTTATCAGAGTTGATCACAATTTGTGGGCTTCTGCTTGTCCGCTTGCCTTCTGAGGACTGACCACAGGTTCTCTATGGGATTGAGATCCAGGGAGCTGCCTGGCCACAGATCCAAAATTTCAATGTAATGATCTTCGAGCCACTTCTTTATCACTCTTGCTTTGTGACATGGTGCTCCATCATGCTGGAAAATGCACGTATCATCACCAAATTGCTCAAGGATCGTTGGAAGAAGTCTCCCTTGCGGGATGTTTTGATACCATTTTTTATTAATGGCAGTGTTTTTGGGCAGAATTATGAGAGACCCCACTCCCTTGGTTGAAAAGGGACCCCACACATGGATGGTCTCAGGATGCTTCACTGTTGGCACAACACAGGACTCATGGTAGCATTC